CTTAAGGTCTAAATTCCAATTAATGTGCATGTGTCAGTGCACTTTTTGACCAGATTTGTAATTAAAACTTTGTATTTGGGCCTTCAGGAGCTGCAGATTTGAAAATAGAGTTATGTTCACCAACGTAGCTAATTCGATTAAAGTAGCTGCACAATTATTCAACTTCTGCACCAATGTTAACTTTCTTTAAAGCAAAATCTGGATAATTTAGGAAACACGTCTTTTTGAGCCTCTGGGACTAGATGCACAAATAAAACTTTGAAGCTGTTAACATACCACCTACATACAAGGATCCTCCCATACATTCTGTGAATAGGATGAACTTTGAATGTCAAAGGGTTCATGTGGCAATAGCACTGTGGAGCACACCTAGTTGCCTTTGGCATAAATGCCTCTTAGCATTGAAAGTCAGAAAGTTGACACAGAGTACTGATGAAAGGTAAAAGATTAGATAAATAAGACTATTGTGAAGATGGACATTTCATGTCCTTGAACAGCTGGAGAGGAAATACAATCTCTTCAATTATACAGTTTTATGTTATTTGCAGTTGCAATCTTTTCTCAGAGCAAATATAGGCCATGAAATAGAGAGACTCGTTCAGCACAGAATGGGAGAAAATTCAATTTCTAAAGCATATTCCCGTTTACAGAGTCAGACCCCCAAACCAGGTTTGCATAAATCTAGAGTGAGGTGGATTTAAACATAGCATCAATGGAATATCTTTTATTCAATTCAATTCAATTTTATTTATATAGCGCCAAATCACAACAAAAGTCGCCTCAAGGCGCTTCATAGATACAGAGAAAAACCCAACAATCATATGACCCCCCTATGAGCAGCACTTTGGCAACAGTGGGAAGGAAAAACTCCCTTTTAACAAGAAGAAACCTCCAGCAGAACCAGGCTCAGGGAGGGGCGGGGCCATCTGCTGCAACCGGTTGGGGTGAGAGAAGGAAAAGATTAGATAAAAAAGCTTCACCAGAGCTTTTTATCAGATTTATTCCTTGAATAGTTATTCAATACCAATTTTAATTGCATATTGAGATTTGTTCATTAAAGCTTTCTTCTTTAATTGTACCTCACACCACAGAAATGACATCTACCCAATCTTGAAGTCTCTACCTTTTAAGAGTGATAGAGATATTTTACCTGGCTTTGTACAAAGGTGCCCCCGTTCTAGTATGACCTCTGAGATACAGTGGTTGCAAAAGTATTCAGCCCCCTTGAACTTTTCCACATTTTGTCACATTACAGCCACAAACATGAATCAATTTTATTGGAATTCCACATGAAAGACCAAAACAAAGTGGTGCACACGTGAGAAGTGGAACAAAAAATCATACATGATTCCAAACATTTTTTACAAATAAATAACTGCAAAGTGGGGTGTGCGTAATTATTCAGCCCCCTGAGTCAATACTTTGTAGAACCACCTTTTGCTGCAAAAACAGCTGCCAGTCTTTTAGGGTCTGTCTCTACCAGCTTTGCACATCTACAGACTGAAACTCTTGCCCATTCTTCTTTGCAAAACAGCTCCAGCTCAGTCAGATTAGATGGACAGCGTTTGCGAACAGCAGTTTTCGCCACAGATTCTCGATTGGATTTAGATCTGGACTTTGACTGGGCCATTCTAACACATGGATATGTTTTGTTTTAAACCACTCCATTGTTGCCCTGGCTTTATGTTCAGGGTCATTGTCCTGCTGGAAGGTGAACCTCCGCCCCAGTCTCAAGTCTTTTGCAGACTCCAAGAGGTTTTCTTCCAAGATTGCCCTGTATTTGGCTCCATCCATCTTCCCATCAACTCTGACCAGCTTCCCTGTCCCTGCTGAAGAGAAGCACCCCCAGAGCATGATGCTGCCACCACCATATGTGACAGTGGGGATGGTGTGTTCAGAGTGATGTGCAGTGTTAGTTTTCTGCCACACATAGCGTTTTGCATTTTGGCCAAAAACTTCCATTTTGGTCTCATCTGACCAGAGCAGCTTCTTCCACATGTTTGCTGTGTCCCCACATGGCTTGTGGCAAACTGCAAACGGGACTTCTTATGGTTTTCTGCTAACAATGGCTTTCTTCTTGCCACTTTTCCATAAAGGCCAACTTTGTGCAGTGCACGACTAATAGTTGTCCTATGGACAGATTCCCCCACCTGAGCTGTAGATCTCTGCAGCTCGTCCAGAGTCACCATGGGCCTCTTGGCTGCATTTCTGATCAGCGCTCTCCCTGTTCGGCCTGTGAGTTTAGGTGGACGGCCTTGTCTTGGTAGGTTTACAGTTGTGCCATACTCCTTCCATTTCTGAATGATCACTTGAACAGTGCTCCGTGGGATGTACAAGGCTTGGGAAATCTTTTTGTAGCCTAAGCCTGCTTTAAATTTCTCAACAACTTTATCCCTGATGTGTTCTTTGGACTTCATGGTGTTGTTGCTCCCAATATTCTCTTAGACAACCTCTGAGGCTGTCGCAGAGCAGCTGTATTTGTACTGACATTAGATCACACGCAGGTGCACTCTATTTAGTCATTGGCACTCATCAGGCATGTCTATGGCAGGGGTGGGCAACTCCAGGCGTCGAGGGCCGGTGTCCTCGCATGTTTTAGATGTGTCCTTGAACCAACACAGCTGATTTAAATGGCTAAATTAGGTCCTCAACATGTCCTGAAGTTCTCCAGAGGCCTGGTAACGAACTAATCATGTGATTCAGGTGTGTTGACCCAAGGTGAGATCTAAAACCTGCAAGACAGCGGCCCTCGGGGCCTGGAATTGCCCACCCCGGTCTATGGGCAACTGACTGCACTCAGACCAAAGGGGGCTGAATAATTACCACACCCCACTTTTCAGTTATTTATTTGTAAAAAATGTTTGGAATCATGTATGATTTCATTCCACTTCTCACGTGTGCACCACTTTGTGTTGGTCTTTCACGTGGAATTCCAATAAAATTGATTCATGTTTGTGGCTGTAATGTGACAAAATGTGGAAAAGTTCAAGGGGGCTGAATACTTTTGCAAACGACTGTACATTAACTCATATCATGGGAATCACTGTTCCTTCAGATCCTGAACTGAGTTTACTAGGAAATGTGACAAAGGTCAGTGGATCTGTAAGCAAACACCAAGAAAAGTTAATAGAAGTCTATTTATAGCAGATGGACCTCAGAAAAAAACAGATCTGATGTACTGTTGAACATCTTGCAGCTCTAGTACACAGGTGCAATATTATCTGAGATTTCCAGCTATGTTACCTGACATGTGGCAATTGCTTTTTTGTTGTTTTATTGATGTATCTGCATTGTTTTAATTTTGCTTAATCTTTTGTTTCATTTCCTTTTGTGTGTGTGTGTGTGTGTGTGTGTGTGTGTGTGTGTGTGTGTGTGTGTGTTTGTGTGTGTGTGTGTGTGTGCCCAGATAGCAAGGAGACATTGAAACAATGTTTAGTCAATATCAGGTCATTCTATTGAATCAATGTTGAAATCTGATGATGACATCACTTTTGCACCCTTGGTTACTATTGAAACAACAATAAAGTCATGATTAAAAATCAGTACTTAACAGGTATTTGTAAAAAACAAAACTGCTGCAAATTACCAGCAATACTTAAGACAATTGTGTATGATTCACAAATATATACATATATGCATTTTGTTTAAATAGTGTTAAAATAAAATAGTGAAAAAGGGATAAATAAGCTTTAGTTTTTGTGTGTTTTGTTTTATTTTTGGGGGGGGGGGTATTCATTAGTTTGAACAAAACAGGTGGTTCTTCTAACTTTAAAATGTAAAGTTTAAAAATGTTTTGTCACACTTTTTATAATAATTGCAAAGCATTTAAGTCAAAATAACTATAAATTGAAAAACACAGACTAGGCTTCTCTATACTTCCACTGATGATGGAGGCGCTGGGTTAAACATTATGACTTTGTTACCAAGTAGAACTCAAACATCCCTAAACATTAAAAGTAGTGAATAAACTTGAATGGCATTTTTGAGGTTTACATACACTCAGCACACTGTGGGTAAGAACAACATTCTCTAAACGTTTGCAAACTTCTGCAGCTTTAAAGTTTGAAAAACGGAAATCAATAATCTTCGCCTTTGCTGCAGTCTTGCTTCAATAAGTTATTTTGTAACTTTTTTGTTGATTTTTTTAAACACATTTTTAGCGGTGTGCTCATGTTTGGTTTTATACAGAAGGCTATATGCGCCCCCAAATAATGCGACAATAAAAACATATAGGCATGAGCCTGACTAACATTAGGTCACCAGTTATTATTATTAATAACTCCGAACTAATTATTGTTACGGTTATTATAATAAATTTTATTATTATTATTATTATTATTATTATTATT